TCTCAATCATGCTGAAGGAAGAAAAAAAAAATCTGTAGCACAAGAAGGGTCTTAGGGATATTGGAAGTATTATTGCTAAAAGTTCTAGATCTGAGGTTAAATAAATGGGAGGTGGTTGTGTGGGTTAGTTCTGGCTGAGATTGCAGGGTGTAGCATGATCATGTGATGCTAAAACTGGAAGATGGTAAGGATTTAACTTGAATTGCTAATTGTCATCTGTACATTTGCTACTTTGCGTTGGGAATGTTGCTCCATTGTTTAATTCTAATCATCATTGCCTTCAGCATCAAACCAGGATAAGCCAAATCAAGCTGACTGTGCTTCTGTGCTTTCAAACTGATTTTGTTACTCGGAAGTACTAATAGGCAGCAGCACTAATATGAACGGTACAACTGAAACAGTGTTATCGGAGACTGGTTTGTCTGCTTGTCTTCCCTTATGTTGTCTTCAGAGTGGCAGTTAAGCTGGTATGTTTTGCTTCCCTTTGGGTGGACTGGGTGAGGAGAATGATGCTGGCTGTATTTTTCACTTATTTGTTTAATTGTCACTTTTACTGCTTTTTTTTTTTTAACCCAATGCCTCAGCTGCATAGTTTAAAGCGGCGTGGATCCTGCACCTCTGGAGCCACAGGATTGCGGTACTTCATCTTTAACTGATGATAAGAATATGCAAAATGAAGATTTCTCCAAGGCTACACTTCCTGTTTTATCTAAATTGCTTCTTAGGTATTTCTGTCATGGAGGGCTAGTTTATACGTGTTTATGATAGCCCTTATTTTTCCACTTGAGCAGTTGGTTTTGGTAATTCATACCTCCTTTAAAAACAAGTTCCAGCCTGAAAGGTAAAACTGAACAGGCTCGTCTTTGCTTAAAGTTCCCGCCTTTCTTGATACCACAAAGAGAGAGATAACTTGATGTTTTGGAGCAGAAGAGCAAAAAGGTATTCAGTATTGCAAGTAGATGACACGGTTAATAAAAAGATAAGCAGCTAAAAGTGAGTAGGCATTGAAATTGAGCATTTTGCTTGAAATAAGTTGATTTTGTCTTGTTAAACAATAATCTCAGTATGTATTAAAATCTACCAAAATATGTGTGTTATTTTTGAAGCAGCAGAATGTGTGTTGGCAGCAAGTATGGAAAGTTCAGTTATCCACTTATACATTCAATCCTTCAGATTATTCCAAGGTAGCAAATGTTCATGTGACGTAGGAAATGCTGTTTCTTCTGAAAACACTATGTCGACTTTCGGTTTCTTCCTCCAAGATTACAGTTCAAAGGAGAGATTCTGAAATCTGTGGCCACTCCTTCCATAGAATACCATAAAAGTTTTGGTTTAATTTTAATACCCATTTTCATCACTAGTCCAAGAATGAACAAAACATACATACATATATGTGGTGTTAAAACCCAAAAAATCTCATTTCTTGTTCTGTAGTAGCCCTGTGTGTAAAGACTAGAATAAAGGGCACAGGGAAGACTGTAGAATATCATAGTGAATAACAAACAGGATAGTATGTTACTTTCTGTAATGATCCATGTGGCTCTCAAAACACAGTTCCTAGTAAGACTTTTATTTAGACTTGGCTATTTATTTGAAATTATTCACAATTTCTTCTCTATTGCTACGCATCAAAGTAAAGTTTAGAATATTTTAAGTGCAAAAATGGCTCTGACATCTTAAATACAGAGAGGAGAGTATTGAGAAATTATTTGCATTTCAAGGCTCCCTAGGTGATCTGTGACATGAGGAATGGAGTTATGAGTACACATTCTCCAAGGTTTAAACTCTCTGTGATGAACATTTTTGGTAATGGGTTTTATGTGTAATAGCAATGGCCGAAATAGAGAACAGGCCTTTTTCCTTGACGTAGTAAAAAGGGGCAGCAAACTATTCTGCTCTGCTAGCCTTATCGAAGTCTTGACAAGACCAAGCAACCCTTTATTTTGTATCGCTGGATCACAGCTTTAACAAGTTCAGAAACTTCAGAGTGCTGGCTTTCATATACAGCAAATCTGCTTAACTTGCGCTAATCATTTTGGAGACTGCATTTGTATTTTACATGCTTTACTCCTTCTTGAAGGTGAATCCTTGTGGTTTTTGCTAGATAATCAGAGCAGTTGCTAGATACGTAAAAGAAAGAGTTACCAGAACATGAGGTTCTGGTTTTTTTCCTAAAAAGCTGCACAAATTATACATTTTTTTTTTGAGGGGGATTCTAGCTTCTTGTATAAGAGTAAGAAGCATGGTAAATAAAATATCTAAAGATGCAGAGTTTTCAGTAGTTTCTTGGGGAGCTGAATTCATGACTTCAAAGCTGTGAAACAGGCTCTAAGCTAGGTTCATATTTCTGAAGATGTGGAGCACTCTAAACATTAGTCATGAATAATATAGTTGTTCAGGGACCTATTTACATCTTTTGTAGGTATATGGACAGTGTTGCCTCTAAGTGGATGTTTAAGACAAGGAAACCAGTATGTTACGGCCCTGGCTGGAGATTGTCTTTTTCCTTTTTCCTTCCAGCCCAAGAAGAATAACTGAAAATTAGAAATAGTTCAACTGAAAATCAGTCTTATCTCTGTGACTTTTTTTTAGACAGGCCTCATGTCGTTTTTTTGAGCCCCAACTTAAACATTTCTGTAACAGACAGTGATCCTTAGGTTTGTGCCCAGAGACTTAAGCTTTAAAACTGTGTTTGGGTGCGTGGTTGTGCTATTAGCAGCTTTATGGAAAAAATGCGATGTATTGAACTGCATGTTGTGATAATGAGGTTTAATTTTCATCTCTGCAATGGATTTTTGGAATGAACATCTTGTGTCTTCTAATAATAGTTCACAAACTGTTGAGAGATTAACTTACCCATTTTTCTGGGGACCTTCAGTGCTGGGGTAGCAGACCACTGAGAAATCTCTGCGGCTATGAATAGTTCCCAGTCATACATGACAATCCTACATCTCCTTTGCTTGTATGTTAAGTTCAGTTGTAGGAACCATTAGCTGTGAGTTTATTTCCTGATTTTGAGTGTCAAATCAATATAATTTGGAATTTCATAGATACCATTATAAATTGTGAATGGTTTTTTTTGTTCTTGTTTCAACATTTTAATTGGCAAAAAATTCTTCAATATTACTAACACATGTACCTACACCAAGTATTCCAGTCAGACACTTAAAATGGGAGTAGATGATATGTGGATATACATATATGTGGAGGAAAAAAAATTGCGCCACCTCTTTTTAATATGGTGGTCTCTCTACCTAGCTCTGTGCAGTTATAGCACTGTTTGGCTAAATTGTTATAAAATTGCACTGTCTATCACGGCTAAAGAAATAAGTTTACTTTTCTAATATATATGTTATCTGTATTTCAGTTTAGTTAAATTTTATCTCTGTTCTCATGGAAGTTAGTAACTGCAATCCTTAAATCTATTTTCAGTAGCTTCCTTTGAGTGTTTTGAATTTCCCTGATTAAATTTAAAGATACGGCTCTTGAGAGAAAATTAATAGGAAAAGGATTTTTCGGTACCAATTTAAAAATTGCTCTGAAAACTTAAATATAGCTCAGAGGTGATCATTAATTAGTATTTTGAACTAATACAATTTTGTCTCAGTCTTACAATGAAAGTAGCTTATATTACTAATAAAAATCCTGCTAAATCAATAGGGATGGCAGCAGTTAGTCTAAATTATGAAAATGCTCAGGCACAGTCTGGAATCAAGTGGTAACAATTAAGAGTTGAACTGCTCTCGCTGAGAGGGTGAATAATGTTCTTTTTTTATTTTTCCCCACCATTCTCTATTTACCGTTATCACTCTCTGCTCTGAACTTTGTGGTTCACTATAGGGCTTCTGGGAACGCTGCCAGCGAGATGCTCCTGATTGATGGTTCTGAAGCCAAACTTCAGGGGCTCTTCGAGTGTCTGTCAGCTCCGGCGTTGCCGTCTCCCAGGATTGCTTTCAATTTGTATCGTCCTACAGCAGGCTGGAAACTCGTCTGCTTCCTGTTGTCCGGGAGTTTAATGCGGACCTCAGAGCAGCAGCAGATTAGCGGCATGCATAAAGAAAAAGGTACTCAGGGACTGAAAGTCAGCCGCAGAGTCCTGTGGGGCTAGGACTTCGGGTAGTAACTTCGACACGTCAATCTGGATTAGATGCGGGCTAGAGCTGGTTGCCGAATGTAAAATGATTTTCTGGTAGAGGAGAAAGATGGTTTAGTCGTGTGCCTTTAGGATCTCCCAGCAGGAGGAAAAGGTAAATGGAAAGTTTAGCAAGTGAAAATGAAGGCTGTTCTTGTTGACTGCCTTGCAGGTGTAGTACTAATTAGAAATCATAATGCTCCAAGAGTAGATTCTCTGTATTCTTCAGATAGTTTGCTCTGGAAATTGGGACCTCTGTTTCATTATGTAAATTAAAAAATAAAGAACTAAAATGCAGCAGACCTGTTTTTTCCCCTTTTCTTGTAGTTTTAAGATTGTGCACAGTTAAACTGTTAAACTCTTCTGCAAGAAAGTGGGGTGTAACATATGATAAACTTGGGAAAGTGCCACTAAACCTATAGGCCTGTTTCTTCTGTCCAGTTAGCCATTAAAGAACTAGCAGCACTAATTGGTAGGAGTAAAATGTTGATAAAAGGTTTACCTAAATCTCCTGAATAACCAGTGGGCTTCATTAACACGTGAAGTGGCTATTGAACAGCAACACCATCAGCAGAAGATGAGTTGAAATCGGGTACGCTTTTATTTCCTCTTTGGAAAAGGGATATGAAGCCTGGCAGAGGTCTGCCACTGGGGGTGAATGGAACCGGTTTTCTCCAGGCATTTTGTTTTGTGTAAGGCTTGTGCCGTGCGGCAGAGGAGGATAATGTTGTCTTTTGAGATCTTCCATTAGAAAAAATCAGAATAAATGTCAGCTAATTTGTAGTTGCTTCTCAGAAATTACTAATACTGGCTCCTGGCAGAAGTGGCTAAGTCATTTGCTAACTTCAACTTCAAGTGAGGATCAAAACTGGATCAGAAATACTAGGATTTCTGTACTAATTAAACTTCCCAGTAAAAACATGAGCAGTGTTATTTTCAGAAACTTCCAGGAACCTGAGCTGATATATTACTGCTTTATTTGACAGTGTTTCTGAGGACCAGATAAGTAAAAATCCATGTGCCATATCCTTGTCTTCCCTCCCCCCATATCAGCTAAATTTTATCTTTGTGAATGCCTTGTTAAATTCCTGACTTTTTTCCCCTCAGCAATGCATTCTGTAAGTGTATACAAGCTTTCTGCATTTATTTTCGTCTATAGTTTGTTTTGTTGTTTTTCTATAGTGTTAAACAATTGTGAGTAGATTATACACATGCTTATCTAACTTGTGCAGTTTCACACTTGAGTATTTAGTATTTTAATATTCTACTGTATCTTTTTTAAATTCATAGCTACTTAGTTTTACCTTCAGATTTTAGTAGTTTAAGCATTTAAAAAAAATATAAAAATATAGCTAATTTTATCCAATATAAAGGCAATGACCTGAGTTGTTTTCAGGTGTACTTACATAGCCAGTTTTCCTTTTGAATTATTTTTGCAAGATGCTTTCCTCAGTGAGCTTGTAGCTATCTTGTGAGGTCAGTTGGAATTTTTTTTTTTAACCCAGTTACAAATGTGAACAGTCATCCATGTGTCCTTCTGATGTAGGCCAGTGGAATGCAAAGTTTGCATTTAAAAGTAAAAAATGCTGAAGACTTTTTTAGCCAGTATGTTTTTCAAAACATATGTTCAATATCTGTTTTATGAAGTGTGCAGCTGACATTCAAAAATTATTTCCTCAGAAATGTCTTGTTTCCTGCCTGTGGGCATCAAGCACAGGCCTCATCAAAGGTCAGAAAAAATTCTCAAAACAGTACAGCTTCTTAGCAATTTAAATAAGAATTTGTATTCCTTCTTGTTAAATATTAATACTAGTAATATCATAAACCCTCTTGCATCTCATGGGACAGCAAGATTACTGGGTCAAAAGGATGTGTTTTCTTCCTTACAGGCATTATACCTTTGTGAAAGCTTCAGCTGGAGTGAGTCTTGCATATTTATTGACATTTCTTAAAGGAATGCTTTTTTTCCCCTGAGTCCATCTACTTATTATGAAGGTTTTGGCACCCATAATTATTTAGTCAGTATAAAAATGTTTAAGAACTTGTTTATGAATCTATTTTGACAGAATAGAATTTTTCATACTTCTAGTGGAAAAAGTATTTCGATTATCTCAGGTTTTGTGCAACTTTTGGAGAAAGACATTCTTAGTCTCAGTTTTTTTCCACTACTGTTTAATATAAAGCAGCAATAGGATATACAACTTAATTTCATTTTCACCTTCAGCATTTGAAGATGTTTGGGGTCTTTGTTTCAGTACATGCAGCTTGCACCACATTTTTCCACAATAAGAGTTAAGAAAGCAATCAAAAATTTTATTAATGCTATAAAGAAGTATTAGTTTTAATTTGCTTTTTCTGCACATAGGACAGTCTAGTAGAGGGTTTTATTGGTTAGTAAGCCCTGTGCTTTGATTTTGCAGTTAAGTATTTGCATTGCAAGTTAAGGTGTATTGTAGCAATCTACAAATGCAACTACAGTTCCTGATCTGTTTAAGTATATCTGCTGAATAACATAGCCTATTTCCCGATTGCAAATAATATGCTTATCTATGTTATGTTTAATTTATGTATAATTTATCCTATTAGATAAGATTTGTGTTGCTGCTGTAAAATTGTATTAGAAAGAGCCATGTGGGTTTAAGAAACTGATATCTTAACCCGTTCGGTATGTTGAAACAATACAAACTGCTGGGTTCCTGTGAAAATAGTTTTACTAAGACCTACTGCGGAAATTCTTTCCAAGTATGAATGCTGATGCAGAGCTGTGTGCAGCAGCTAAAAAGTTCATGCTTTCTAGAGGCTTGCGTGGATTTTCTGTGTAAACAAGCATTGCCCAAGATTATAAGCAGGGTAAGTAACTCTGTAGTCTTCAAGGGTACAATCAGAGGTTCTTGAGACCTTGCAGGGCATCTGAAGCCTTGGAACTTGGATGAGTTTGCAAAGTCACTTGTGGTAGGATCAGATGATGGCCAACAAAATGAATGTTGAGTTATACTGTCCTTTATTGCCTACAGCAATATTCCAACTGTTACTGTTAATCATAGCCACTGCTTCAATTGTATACAAGTTATGTCTAACCTAACACTTGCAACAAAACAGCATGTGCATACAAACAAAAACCATGCCGGCTTGTTCACACACTTAACTACCCATTACTACAAATGTGACTACTACTACCAGCACCTCCCCATAGCAACACCGTGGAAGTTGTCATCCCATGCACCGTCCAGGGGGTGATGGGGAGGTATCTGCACTGATGACTGCAAGCTGTCACTCATCCAGGGGTAATCTGACTGATGCGGACCAGGGTCCATATATGTAGCTTCCCTCTGCAAAGACTGAAGGCAGGGTCATCATCCCTTGTTGCTGCTCAGCAGTCAGCAACACCAGCATCTTCAAAGGAACTTCCCCAATACTGGCCTGCCACAACTTGTGCATTGCATGTGTTGCTTAATCGACTGTTTTTTGGCAGACCATGTCGTTATGCTGTTAGTTTCAATTATGGACCTTACGGCTCAACTGTTAGTTTTGTTTCTGTACAGTCATCTTAAAGCCACGGTTCAGACATTTGTGTCAGGCAGTTTAAGTGCCACAGGAAGTCTGTGCAAACTCTGCCACGGATCTTAGACTTGCATATAAGATAAGTATCTTGTCCAATTACCAAGTGAGGAGCATTGGTATGTATTTTGTATTACAACAGCTGGTACGTTTTCAGCCTGTAGTGTAAGATGGAGTGTATGTGCTACCCAGCGGCCTCTGTGTGGGAAATATGAAAGGATCAGTATCCTCACTGAAAAGTGTTTAGTGATCCATAAATCAGAAGCTGAAAATGGTTGGTGCAAATCTCATCTAAGTGCCATTTACAGTGATAGTTTGTGAGCTATGACAATGTCTTGCTGCAGAAGTTTCCCACAATTTTTGAAGCTAATCTTAAGGACAGCAGGCATCCAGTATGGCTAATGTTTTTGAGAGGCCAATATTTGATACACACTTGCAACAAATGTTAGAAAACTCGATGTTTGACATTGAATTAGTCTTTTTGATAAATTGTGACCAGTTCAAAGATGAGTGTGCCCTGTGGGTTTGCGGCTTGTAGTCGTGGTTCTAGTATAGGTCCAGGATAGGTCTCGGGCTCTTCCATAAATACAGAGATCCTTGTATCACTGGATCCTTGTATCTAGCTGCTCTGTGTGGCATTATTTGGATGCTCTTTATGCTTCCATCGAAATTTTTCCTGGGTGTCTTTGGTAAAAGCAGCTGTCAGCTCTGCCTCTCTAGCCATGGGCAGATTTCATTTGCATCTGCAAGGAGTAAACTAAAGCTCCAGGAACATCAACAGTATGTACGTCGTGCCACAGTGCAAAGACTAATTATTCTGGTATCATTGGGAATTTCCGGTCTCTACCTGGCTCCTTGACTTGTACGTTCCTGACAGTTCTATACCAAAACCCCTCCTTTTCCTTTCCTGCCATCTCTGTCAGCTGAATCATGGAAACCATGAATGGAACCACAGAATCACGGAAAATGAGGCTGGAAGGCATCTCAGTAGAGCATCTGGTCTGATCCCTGGCCCTGCTTAGAGAAGTGCTGACTTTCTGACCAGGTTGCTCGGGATGGAAACATTCACGTCCCAGACCAGAATCTGTATTGTCCAGTTCAAAAACTTGCTGCACGCTAATCTCTCTCAAAGCAAAAATAAGCTGTAACTCACTGGTATCTCTCTCACCTGGGGTAGACCAGCAACTCTACCCCATTTTTTGCTGCCACATTTTGAGATAAAAGGACTGGGCCTGTTGCAGTCAATATGAGAGTGCTCTTCCGTCAAACTGCGTCTTGCTGTGATAGTTACATTAAGAGTAATACGTGTGTTGCTTTGTAATTGAATGAACTGGCTGACATGGTGTTTCAGTTTTTATAGTCTGATATGCCAATCGCGTGCTGGGACTGAAGCAGTGTCAAGAAAAAATACGGATGATGATGAAAGACTATAGCTAGTTCAGTTAGATATACTGAAACTGTTTTCTAAAACAGCCATAAGAATGGAGGCAATTGCAAGCTTTACCTAATGAGAAACTTTAGCCAGACATGCCCTGTAAGTGACACAGGGAATTACTTGTCTCTGGGTGAAACCACTGTGCCTAGGTGCTTCTGGGCCATGTGAGATTGTTCGGTGGTAAAATGGGCGTTGCATTTCTTTCTTCAGAGTGGATTTATGAGTAGATGTTATTCCTAAAGGTACGAAATTTACCTGTAACGTTTCTGCCAACATAATAGAGAATCATATGAAGAGAGAGCCAATTTTGCTTTAACTGTGAAAGTATTTCTGTAAATAGTGTTTATTTGTATATTTGTAGTACTGCTGTCACCTGAAATGCGTTGACTGAATTACGATTATTTTAATGTTCTTCTCCAGCTTTTGAACCCCAATGTTTAAAATCATAGATATGTTACTAGTTTATTGCTGAAACTTTACATACCTTACTGGTTTGCTTTCTCTTTTTAGGTGTCTTGGCTTTTTAATCCAACAAGAAGTGAAATAACAAGTCTAGATAGTGGAAATATAGATGACATTTTAAGTGAGTACTTTGATTTTTTTTTTATGTCTACAGTCACTTATCTGCATGAATCTTGCGGTGTTATTAAATGAATATGCATACCTTAGCTTTGAAAATATGAATAGCAATCAGCATAGAAGTATTAAATGCCTGTGATCAAACTTCGCTGTCTGAACTAATGTATCACCTAAGAAATTAGCTCATTGTAATCTCAATGAGGATTTGAAATGTCTAAGAAAAATACCTGGTATCTTGTTTGCAGATGGGAATGCTTGATTACATAACCAAAAACTGTCGAAAGAGCTTTTTAAAAGGTCCCCAAAAAATAGCAGCAGCTGAAACCCATGGTGATGGGCCTTAAGGACCTTGCTTGTTCAGCTATGTTTTTCCTCAGATTAAGCATTGTCCTGTTTCTGGTGGCTCACAGAAAGGAAACTCATAAATTAAACAGATGTGTATTCCTTGTCTGAAACCTTTTTGCCTGACAAATATACAATTTGCTTTTATCTGCTTGTATTCGCAGGAAAAGTTATTACATTGTTTCAAATATATTCAGAAAAAAATCTTTATATTCTTTTATTTAGGTCTGTACTAGAGTCTACCTACTATTGCAGATTGCTTTGTGTAGTAAATGTATGATTAGGTGATATAAGGTCTGTTTGCAAATACATTTTATACAGTGGAAAATAATGAATCCTCTTGTAAAATGTTATTCATAAAAGAGAATATATGCCAAGTGTAAGAACTTTTTAAACTTATCCTATTGCTTTCAATAGATACTTTATGCCTTGGAGGTAACCCTGAATTTCTCTGCGCTTTTTCCTGTTCACCACTTGCATTCCTTGCTGATAATGAAAATCTTAAATCTGTAATTTTAATCAAAACTGTAGTTTTTCCCAGCCTTGTCAAGAGTCGTCTTTTCCAGCATGTTGTCTTTTCCAGGCTTCCAACATCTTAATCTTTGCTTGTAACTGCTTTGTACCTTTTGTCAATAGTGCAAATTTGTCTAGCACCCTTTCTGCTTTATAAAGCTATAGCTGGTATTCTATAGTTCCAGTATTTATTTCAAGGTTTTTTCAATGTATAGGCCACTACTAATAATAAAAATCAATTTACAGCATGGTGGTTTTATTGTGTAAAGATCGTAATTTATTTGGGGGCAGGAGATTTGTCCTTCTAGTTTTGATATATTGGGGGGGGTTTTTTGGTATGTGAAAAATAATGTATACAAGCATTATTTCACTTCCTCATCATATATACCCCTATAGTATTGCATTTTTTGGAGTGTCCCTTAGCATTTTTCTTTTTTGGGGACTGAAGATTTCTCTGCTACCTTTTGCCTTAGTATCCAGCTTCTTGGAAAATAAGGCAGGTAAAGACTGACCAGAGTAAGTTGCACAGGCAGGTTGCATGTTGGTCATTCTTCTAACACAAATAGTTGACACTTCAGCTTGTAACTGTTTTTTAACACTTACAAATAATCTAGCTAATGCTTAAAAGATATACTAGAGTACAACTTCTGGCTTTCAGTGCCTTAATTTTAAACCCAGAATTACTTTGTTTCATGTGTCACTTGTTTATTTTGTGTCTTAATACCTTAAGTATTGACATTTTTAATGTCTAATATATCAATAAAGTCAATAAAAACTTGACTGAAGGCCTCTTTCATCACTTTCCCATTTGATATAGATTATATTTCAGATAAGATTTATACTAGCAGTTTTCTAGCAATCAGACTAAGCTGTATGCTGAATAATCTAGAAATATTTTCTTTTATAGTTTTTGTGAGTATTTTTATAATCTCAGATAAAAGCACAAAGAAGTTTGCCTCACAATGTGACACTGGGTTTTTTCTTTCTCTTTCAGACAATGCAGATGTTGCTTTAGTTAATTTTTATGCTGATTGGTAAGTTACACAGATTTGTTTTTTTCTATGTTTAAACTTCTGTCCTTTGAAAACTGTCATGTTTGGCTATAGTTTTCCAATTGAAAATACAGTGGTATGTAGCTTTCAGACTAGTTCTTTCCTGTTTTTTTAATGTCCTGGTTACTTCCCCTTCTGCTGTTCTGGCATTTCAGGGCTCCTATGAGAGGAAAAAGGCTTCTATAGTACTATGGAATAACATGCGATGTAATCGATTCCTTCCTTCTTCCCCCCCCCAGCAAGACAGATTTCATTAACTTTTTGCTCCTTAACATAGGATAGTCCAAAATACTCAATTTTTCCATTTTCCTCTGTGTTGGTCCTGTGCGCGTGTGCTAGAAAGAAAAAGGCTTGACATTACTCTATAAATCAAATCCTTCTCTAATCTGGAAGATCTTCCAAGTGGAGAACTAGAGAAATTGTAATTGAAGGATGAAGTCTGAGCAACTGGAAAAGGAAAGAATTTGGGGCCAGATTGGTTAGACACTGTGAAAGACATACTTGGAGGGAACAGTTTACTTGAAATTATATTTTAAAAAAAATTGCATGCAAAATCATTGTTAGAATTAATTTAAGCACCATACCCCTTTTTTTCATTGTGTAAGAAGTAATTTTAAGTGTTCTGTTCCACCATATTTTTGAAAGACTCTTCAGCAAGGAAGAAACCAGAAAAATATTCAGAGAAAATAAAATTTAACATGGAAATTAATATAGAAAATGAGGTTAGAAAAATAAATGATTGTCTGTCTTTGATTAAAGTAATCTTGCATGTAAATAGCCTTATAATGTAAAGCAATATATAAACCGAAGTACTACACTTTAAATATGCCTCTCCCTGCTGTTTTGCTTTGTGAGCATAAAACATTGGCCTTCAGAATCAAAGGTCGTGTA